TTTCCTCCAAGATCAGCCGATGTTGGCATTGTATATTGTTTCCTCCAAGATCAGCCGATGTTGGCATTGTATATTGTTTCCTCCAAGATCAGCCGATGTTGGCATTGTATATTGTTTCCTCCAAGATCAGCCGATGTTGGCATTGTATATTGTTACCTCCAAGATCATTCGATGTTCGCATTGCATACTGTTTCCTCCCAGATCAGCCGATGTTAGGATTGTATACAGAAGTGTTGGTTTGTTGTTTATGTCTATGGCGCACTACAAACATCTCTAGTAGGACTGCAACAACTAATCGATTAAATTGATAATAATCGATGAGTATAGTTGGCAACTATTTTCATTATCGTTTAGTTGGTTGGGACAGAGAAGAGAGATATTTTTTTAATGCAACCAATCGATTAGTTGAAAAAATAATCGGGCAACTAATCGATTATGAAAATAATCGTTAGCTGCAGCCCTAATCTATAGTGCCATGACAAAAGGGGGGAGAGAGTCAGTGATTGGATACAGTCACCAATCACTTACCTCCAAATGAGCCTTGTGTGACAGAGTTATCACGCATAGCGCTGAAGTTAGCAGACTATCATCAACAGAATGGACACTTTGATGTCACCCAAAGATGGTTCAACCAAAGCAAGTGATAGTCCAGATTGCAAACTGGCCATACGCCAGTAGAATTCCCTTCAAACTTTCCTTTGAGATTCTGAAAAATCAGAGCATTCAATCTTGCTAACGGCAAGTCAATTCATTTCATGGAAAGCCCTTAAAATGTTGGCCAGACCTGCAACTTGAATGAAATCCGAGGCGCCTTAAACAATTTCCTTTTGTGCCTAGCACACAGGCATTACAGTAGGTATGATTCTTTCTTCACATTCACAATTTCTTTCATTCAGATAAGAAATGTGACCATTGAGGTGAATGGGATTGCACCGTAGCCGCATGGCAAGCATTTGCAGGGTTGTAGTTCCTTGTAAGGTCCCCCTTGGTACCAAAAACAGGTATTCAGGGGGTAGCAGTATCACCTCCTGTACACACGGAAACACTGCTTTACCGCCATCCATGATTTGCGGTGGATCAGAGGGGCAGTAAAGTCCGCCGCTTGTGTGAACGAGCCCTGAGGCAGTTGTCAAAGGAGTCCATATTGGAAGATTTCCCCTCTATTCCTGTTCTATGGCAACTCAAAATTTTGGATTCATTTCCATTCCCAGTGACCAGAATAATTTAGAGAGTGGAGTTCCTCAACAGGGACACAGACAGCCATATTCACCTGACAGGGGCTCTAGCCCTTCACCGCCCGCCCTCCAAATCTGAAACAACTTTCCCCAGTGGTGATGTGTGTGGGATGAATGGAGCACCTTTGGCCGCCCCCTCCCTCCCTGTCATCTGCTGCTGAGCCCACCCCTGTTTATCCCCAGCCTCCCCCTAGCCGCCGAGTCTCGCCCTGCCTGCACTGACTCAGGCTCTCCCCCCTCCAGTCTCCTCACACTCTCCGGACTCGGAGTTTCCGTTTCCTGCTGCCTCCTCCAACTACCGGAGGCTCCTCACCGAGCCGGGACAGCCGATCCAATCAGAGGCCGGCCCCCGTGCCGCACCGTCCGGAAGGATGGGGTAAGAGAACTGATACATTGTATCCTGAGCGCTGCGTCGTTCTGATAGGCTGACAGAGATCCGACAAAAACTTTTCCCAACTTCATCGTGTGATCGGAGATCCTCCCTGCCACATCAGCCGGCGGGATAGAGGGTGCCTGGCTATGGCTCCGGGGTGATCAGTGCAGGGGGAAGAGTGCTACTTCAGTGCACATAGCTGGGGGATCAGTGTAAGACTATAAAAGTCTGCTTTAGTTTATTGATCGTCCCCATTGTGATCAGTTTATTAAATCGTTCTCATTGTTATAAGTTTACTAAATTATCCCCATCGTTATAAGTGTACCAAATGATCCTCATTGTTATAAATGTACTAAATGATCCCCATCGTGATCAGTTTATTAAATCGTCCTTATCGTTATAAGTTTGCTAAATGATCCCCATCGTTATAGATTTACTAAATGATCCCCATTGTTGTACGTTTTACTCAATGATCCCCATTGTTGTACGTTTTACTCAATGATCCCCATTGTTGTACGTTTACTAAATGATCCCCATCGTTATAAATTTACTAAATGATCCCCATTGTTGTAGGTTTACTAAATGATCCCCATCCTTATAAATTTACTAGATGACCCCCATTCTGATCAGTTTATAAATGATCCCCATTCTGATCAGTTTATTAAATGATCCCCATTCTGATCAGTTTATTAAATGATCCCCATTGTGATCAGTATATTAAATGATCCCCATCGCGATCAGTTTTATTAAATTATCCCCATCGCTATCTGATTAATAAATCATCCTCATCATAAAAACAGATTTTCTATAATGTGATTTCCATTCAGGAACAATTGTTCTTCTATCACTTAGAAAACAATCCTTTATTTATGTGTATTACGTCTGGGATTGCATTCACGTTGAATAGGACCGAGGCGACAAGCACGACGTGCATTTTTTCGCACATTTCATGAATCGGCACAAAATCGTAGGGTTTTAATAGTGTGAACGGTGGATTATGTTTAGTTTCCATTCGTCCTTATTTATTTATTACAGGTATTTTCATAGCGCCGACACGTTATGCGGCACTTCACATACTGAAGAGTCGTATAGGATGGCAATGCAGTAAGACGCATGTGCCAACTTTTGATGAACTGAAAATCAAAGGATCCGGGCTGAACAGTGACCACCGCCACTGGTCAAGTATTCCATCTGTAGAGACTTCTTATCATTTCCCAAACAGGAAGTGAAATGAAATCTCCCCAACAAAACAAAGACATCGCTGGGTTATGGCTGGCATTGGAGGCAGCCATAACCCAATGATGCAGGTCGAGGATTGTAGCCCAGACAGAACCGCCACTGGGTCCGTGTCAGAACCATGGTCTGCCATTTAGTAATGGCTGCCCTTTCCTCATTCCATAACATGGGGGAGGTGTACAGCACAAGCAGAGAGTACAGGATGTTATTAGCTCACTATATTTCTGGCAGGATCAACAAGTATGTTTTTTGTGTATCAAAGAGATATAACAAATGGCTTTCAATGGTATTTGTTTACAGACCAAAACAAAGAAAATGGTCCATTGTTGGGGTTTACATATGCCTTAAACATCACCTCTGTATAAGACACAGTATCTGAATCTGGTATCACCCTCCTAAAATCTCCTGCACAGCAGCAAAAGGGTAGGGGTGCACAAGGAACCAATCAGGATCTGTTGTGTTTACATGTGCTTGCTCCTTGTCCAGTAAGCATGCTGAGGGTGGGTAAGTGACTCCACTGTATTCATTCATTCTAACACAGAAATGGAGGTCACAGTCCTGCCCGTGATGTCTGGCCGCTGTGTAGGAATTCCATCTGGACAAAGTTCTACATCCCTCGAAGCATAAGATAGTTCACTTATTTGTATAAACCGTAAACTGTGTACTTTGCATTGCTATGTGTATTGTAGTAGAGGCATGATACACTGACAGGGAAAAATCCATTGTTTACATGCAGGGCTCATTCACACCACGACACAGCAAACGCGTACATGTTGACCTGCGTTTTTAATGTGCAGTGCTACATTTTACTGCACGTTGAACTGTGGTTTTACATGTTTTTTCTGTACAGGCCACGTCAAGGGTCAAAATACTAACATGTTCAGATTACACACTGCATTGCATACAAATACATACATGCTGCATTTTTATGCAGTGCGTTGATTGCGTGAACAGGGTGCATAGGAACCAGTTGCATTCTTACGATGAGCCCACATTGATGACCACAGATGGAGGCAGCTGGACAGGCATGGTATTCTGGTGTGAACGAGTCCATACTGGGGGCATTCTCTCTGTGTGGTACTTCTTAGAGATGCTGTACTTTGGTTGACCTTCTAAACTGGTGAGTTAATTAGCGGCAGGGGTCAGCCCTATCTGACCTCCGTCCATAATTTATCTTAAAGGGGCCGTCTGTGTTATTAGATACAGTTCTCAGCACCTCCCCCAATATATCGACTCTTTTAATTGACTAGGACAATTAACTCTCTGTGATAACTTTGTTGAGTATTAAGTTATCTACAGGCATTCTCTTAGCCAGACGCCATTGTCATTCTATACTAGAACTGCTTAACAGAATGGACAGGAGACAATGGGGGGGTGGCAGGTCATGAATGGAGAGTTTGTATCCCCCGTGGCAGCCAATCAGAATCCAGCTGGCAGTCTTCTAATACAGCTTACAAAATCGAAGGAAGGATGCGGTTGCTAAGGACAACACATAGATTTTTGCTTTTTTAACGTTGTGGAACGTGACGCATTTTATTTCCTAGTTGCGGCATGATTTGTGATTCTTCAAAGTATATGTAAACCCTAACCATGAACTTCCTTTATTTGCTCCCTTATATTCTGCTAAATATACCATTGAAAATGTTTTGTTATATCTGTTCAATAAGTGCAAAAAAATACCTTTGATCCTGTCATCCATTGATAAAAAAAAAAAAAAAAAAACCAGTAGGGGAAAAG